CCAGGAGCTAGGCCACCAATGAGTGCCGTGGTGAAGATGCTGGAAGGAGGAGTGGAGATCATGCCACCTCCTAAACCTACTCATTTACTGTTCTCATCGTTAGGGACAAATGCAGTCAAGCCACCAAATGCTGCCACTGGTTCGAGTTCCTCCTCAAGTGAAGAATCCGCTTCTTATTGGTATAAAGAGACCACTTCAAGCATGGCTAAGTATGAAATACAAGTGGTCAGTAGTTAACAAGGCTAAAATCCAGTTCCCAGAAAGTGTATGTTTTGTCTTGATTTTTGTTATTATAAAATTTCTCGTCTTCTGTTTAGCTAACAGAATTTTAAATTTCATTCTATCGTAAAAGGAACCAAGGTAGATTCTTTTCTTCAATTTACCACAACCAAGAAAAGTTAAATGCCTAAAAACAGACAGAAATTAGGTGCAGTTGCCAAAAGTATTTTTGTTTACAAAGACATTCATGTGCTGTTTGGTAACATGAATTTAAAATAGTATATTGGAAATTGAGAGATTAAAATTTAATATTGTTGTTTATTTTTATCTAAATAAAAAATGTTAATTATAGGAAAAAGCCCATTTTTAGTCCTTGTACCGAAAATCCCTTTTTTGGTCCTTCCGTTAATTTTTGCTCATGTGTCACGTTAGCTTAATAGGAACAGCTGATGTGGATATGTCAACATGTAAAGGATGCTTATGTGGACTTAATGATACCCTCCACGTCACCCTTCACGTGTGGAAAAAAGAAAAAGAAAAGGTTAAATGCTAAATTTGATCCCTTAATTTTATAAGTTTGCATTTTTTTATCCTTAGATTATTCTTTTCACTTTTTTGATCTTTTAATTTTAAAAATTACACAATTTTGATTCTTCCGTCAGTTAAACATGACGTGATAATTAAATAATTCCATTTGATATTTTCTTTTAATTTTTTTGATGACATGACAATTATATATATTATAATTATGTTATATAGATAAATAAAAATGTTACGTAGATAAATATTTATATTTTAATTTAAACATAAAATTACATTATTACCCTCAACTCTCAACCCCTCTTCGTCCCCTTCTTTCTTTCTCTTTCTTTCTTTCCTACCCAGATCGGCTGGGTTCATTGAAACCCAGCCTTCCTGGTTGCTTGAACCCAACCTTGCTACGTTCGTCAAAACTCAGTTACTAGTTTCATTAAAGCCACTAAGTTCATCAAGCAAGTATATCTCATCAAATCAAATTAACCCTTCAATAAACAATATCATTCAAATTCTAATCCAATTCCAACAAAAATACAATCAAACTCTAATCCAATTCTAAGAAAAATGCAATCAAATTATAAATCAACTCTCAAATTTATCAAGAACTAAAAATGAAAATAGAAAGAAAAATGAACAAACATGAACCCAGCGTCGAAACCCAACAAGGCTGGGTTCGCGCGACCAGCATGGCTGAGTTGGTTACAATAAACAGAATACCCATCACCTTCACTCTCCATCTCTCTACACCCCTGGCTCTCCATCAATGGAGCCACAAAGGCCATCGCAGTCGCCACCGGTATATCCAGTCTACCCGGCCTCTTCCTCTTCAAAACCGACCCGGGACCAAAACCCGCACCAGAACCCAAAGAAGACAGAGATGAGGATGAGAGAAGTGACCCAGATGACGTTTTTTGAATTCTTATACGAAACGACGATGAAGGCGAAAACGACGGAGACGGAGAAGAAGGAGAAGATGTGGATTTGAGGTGGGTTAAAGTCAAATTAAGAGCTTCCATTGACGGAGAAAGGATTGAGGTTTTGTTACAGAAGAAAAACGAGGAAGGAGAGAAGACCGGGGAGCTTGATACCGCGACGAAACATGACATGGTTTTCTGAATATGTTAATTTTTTCAGACAGTAGGGCCGAATTCGCGCAACCAAGACCAACAAGGTTGGGTTCGTGCGACCAGTACCAGCAACCGAGAACAGTAAGGAGATTGTGTAATTTTTAGAGTTAAATAAAAAAAGTGAAAAAAATAATTTAAGGATCAAAAAAATGCAAACTTATAAAGTTGAGGGATCAAATTTAGCATTTAACTTTTTTTTTTCTTTTCCACACATGTATGGTGACGTGAGGCTATCATTAAGTCCACATAAGCATCTTTTACATGTTGGCATATCCACATCAGCTGTTTCAGTTAAGTTAACGTGCTACGTGAGCAAAAATTAACGAAAGGACCAAGAAAAGGGCCGGATTTATGAACAGTAAAGACTAAAGAAGGAATATTTTCGGTACAGAGACAAAAATGAACTTTTTCCTATAGTAAAGGGACCGAAAAAACTATTTAACCAATAAAAAATAATTAAATTAAAAAAAAATACATGTATTTCAACAAGTAATTCCAAAAGTTAAAGACCGTGAATTTCAATTTTGAAATGAATTTCCTCTACACCCTCTCCTCTCACTGACGGCGATGAGGCCTTCATCGTCCGCCCATTAATGACTCTGTCACTGCTCTCTCACCTTCTCATCGTCGGCCACTCAAACCTCTCCTTGATAGCAGGTTTTTTTGTGCGAGGAGGATTTTGGTTTTGCTCGGTTTTTAGGGTTTCATTTGCTTTAGGCAATTTTCCTGCAGATTCATCGAGTCTTGGCGGCGAGAAGGGGAACATTCACAGAGGGATGATGATAGCGGTGACCGGGTTTCTGGCCATGGAAGATTTCGATCTGATGGTGGAAGCGGTGGGGGTCGAGGAAAAAGAGTGGTGTATCTTAGCTTACCAATCAGTTTTGCTTTGGACGGCGAGGCGGCATGGCTATCTTGCCCTGTCAACGATGGGTGAGGAGGAAGGGGTTTGGTTGGCTTCGGGAGGAATTGGGAATTGTTTTGTCAATGGTGGCTAAGGGGTGGCCGACAGCGGCGACAGCTCTTTTCCGGCGAGGGCTTGCGTTTCTCGGTGGGATTGCTTGAATCGGATTTTTCGGTGATTGGATGGAATTTAGATTCTAAGGGGATTATACTTTCCAGAAAAATCAAGATTTGCTCCATTTGAATTTAAATTGAATTTCTGTTACTTCTCATGCCAGCTGGCATCAATAACTGGGTAGGAAATTTTGGAATTAATAGTGCCAAAGATTACGTTTTCATAATGAAGCGACATAGGGATAAGTTTTTTTTATAATTTTTTATATAATATATATATTAATTATATTAATTTGTATCCATTTCAATTTTTAAAAAAGTTAAAGTTTTCATGTTAAAAAAAAAAATTAAAGTTATAATTTTATAAGATTAATTCTATCTTAACTTTCAGTCTCAATTCAATGCTTTACTTTGAAGGTAGGAAAAATGTTATATTTCTATTACTTCAACTACTTGTTAATAAATATAGTTGTTCGAAGTCTTCAATAAAAAATATCATATTTCTATTTTGTTTTGCAATTAAGAAGTGTTACCTCAACTACTTTATTAACAGACATAATTGATAATCATTTTAGATATTATTTTGTTTTTTTATTTTTCATATTGAAATTCTTTTACGATAAATTCATCTTTACAAAAATTGAATATTGGATGACAATGAAAAAAATGAACAAAAAAATAGAGAATATGATGACAAATTGACTAGTGGAAGTCATTATTCTTTTTTTTTATCCAATTTGTTTGTTTTGAAGTAATTTAAATAATGTTTTGAAAGGCTAAAATTGTTAA